ATATGATATTAATAATTAGAGGTGTTACAACAACATTACCTTATTTTTGCTATGGAACAAATATTTAAAAAGAAACTTAAATGTAGTAATTATATTTACTTCTTTTTATTAAATTGCATAATTAGGTAAATATAGGGTACACTTACCCTGAAAAGAGCCTAGTTAACCACTGAATTACACCCTGGTGGTTGTTGATACATATCTCCATTGCATTAAATGATTCTTTGTATCTAACCTCATTGGTTGCTTAAAATGGAATTAAAAAGGTTGCTTTTTGTTTCTAAATTTCTTTTACATTAAAATTGAAAAATAATTTTAAGATAACATTTTTATATCAGTTTTTTATACAACTTGATATATCATTTAAATAATTAATTTTTTTAATTTATGTGAAATTTATAATATTAAATATATTTATTTATTTAAAATATATAAAAATTATATTAAAAAATAATATAAAAATTTTATCTGTATAACATCGCCCTCATTAGAATTAGACCTTGGGACCAATCAAAGATTTCGAAAGACTTAGACATTAAAATTCCAGATTACATTAAGGGGAAGGGAGTCAAAGTCAGGAAAATATACTCTAATAATTGCAATCATGGAAGAAATGTTTAGAGACGAAATTTTCAAGTTGTGATGTGGATATGTATGATCACCAAGAGCAGTACCAAGTTTTATCCACCGGTATAATTTGGGTTTTGGATAAGTTTGGTCAACTGCGGGCGTAAAAGAGAACAAGGGGAGACCCCCAAACAAAAAAAGAAAAGAATCGGCCCTCCCTTAAGCCACAAGTTTAGCTTAAAGGCTATATTTAAAAGTAATATTTTGACCACACCATGTGCGCCTACATATCCAAGAACCTCATTTTTTGGGGTAACAGTCAGGGAAAGATTCTATTGTGTGTTTATGCATATTCTGCTTCCCCAAATAATTGAAAGAAAAATGTTACGTATACTCAGACTTTAACCGGTTTGAGTTTTTATTTTAAAAAAAAAAAAAAAAAACTTATTCCAACTAGATTTCAAGTGCTTATATTGAGAGCACATAGCATTTCTCTGAAATTATGTTCTAAATAGTTTTATACACAGAAAGTTTTCAGATCAATTTGAACCCTAATTAACAAAAATGAGGAACAAAATTTTTTTTTTTGAATAAGTTGTCAAAAGGGTAGATTCGAAGCTCGCCCATAAAAAAAAAAAAATGCATTTCAAGCTAATAGATTACCAATTGACCCGAAAGGTTTATGTGAGGAACAAATCATTTAATTATGGATTTGACTATATATGCCATAAGTAAGATTTTTTGTTTTTTTTGGGGCCAACAGATAGATTTTGTTTAATTTAATAGAAATAAAAGAAAGCGCAAGATAGAGAGGAAAATTTTTTTGATAAGATGGTAGCTTTAAAATTTTATTATAAAGAAGTAAAAGAAATAAAAAAAATTTTACAATTAAATTTAAATTAATAAAACAATTAAAAAATTATTATATAATTCAATATAATATATAATATTAACAGTTTGATGAAGAAAAAAAATTTTAATATTAAGCAGATTTTTATGTTTAATATTTATATTTTATAATTTAATATAATTTAAATTATTATATAAAAATTTAAACAATTAAAAATTAAAATTACAAGTCAACTTTTTAATACAGGTGTAGGAG